CCATGAAAGGCCTTTTTGATTATTGTTGACATCAGGGCTACGGAAACCTTTTTCTAGTCAGGACTAAGTGGCGCAGTCTAACAAGAACAGCACAGCTCGCGACTGCGCGGGATCAACGCTTGAGAAAGGAAGAAGAGTAAGAATTTTCAAAGGTCCCTTTTACAAAAACATTGACTCAAAACCCGCTCTCCACGTAGCTATTGGGGAAAATCATGCAAAATTGCTGGATATCACCCAAGATAAGTGTAATCTGAGTTCTGAACAAAATTTCAGCTTCTCAGAAATTTTCTGAATGACATTTTCAGCTTCTTAAAAATTTTCTGAATAACATTTATAAGAAATATTTTCATGGCAATCTCCCCAGAAAGCCCAGAAGTACGAGTTCTTGGAAAATACAAGCCCCGTAAAAAAAAGAAGCCTCTACGGTACAAGCAAAGGGAAAGCGAAAAGAATCGAAACAGTCGAGCTCAAGTGATCATGAGCCAGTAATGGACAAAAATTGGACAAAAAGAAACTAATCTGAAAAGATTCAGAATGTCTGAAAGGTAAAAGATTTAGTGATGGTCAGTCTGTGTTGGGTTGCGCCACGCACTCGATTTTTCGACATAGCATTGAATTGAATGCTTTTACATACAATGGGTAATGTCCAGTTGACCTGACCACTCGTGTGGTAGCAACGCTGTTTGCCATTACATCATTTCCGCCTCTGAAGCGCTATAAATGGGCTTGTCATCCCACAGGTGTCCCTCCATAATGACACAATGCTTGCCAAAAATGCTTTCACTACGGAATAGTATAAGCATCTTCAAAAGAGAACTTATGGATTTATAGCTGCTTAGGAACCATAAGACAGGACGCGAACGTATGAACAGCACCAGGAAGTCGTGTGAAATGCTACTAAAAAATTCATCCAATTCCCAATTTTCCCAATTTCTTTGCCTCCACTCTTTTGTGAAATACTTCTGAAAAACGCATAAAGTGGAGATCTGGTTGAAAGCACATAGTGTTTCATGCAATTGGAAATAAACAATGTAGAGGAAATCATCAGTTATCATCAATTACCATTAGCAAACAAATCATCATTTATCACTGATTATCATTAACAATTGGTTGGTTAAACGCTTCTGAATAGCTGTTTTAGTTTTAGATATCGAGAAACGATGTGTGGCGGCCACTGGCAGCTCCAAAAAATGGCAACAAGCTGAAGAAATGCTGGGCAGGCTTCGAGGAGACGGCCACGCCAACGGAACCGTCGGACACGGCGTGATGGACGTGTTGGACGGTCCGTCTAGAACCTATGTTTCCACCCCTAATCTTCGCATTTCCCTCCCACCGTACTACCCCATTTTCCATCCAGCACTTCATGGAATTGTCTCCAGTTGTGCCAGTCATAAGTAGAGGCGGAAATGTAGTAGAGCCAAGCGGCGCTGCTTACCAAGAGCATGATTCGGTGATAAAATCTTGAATCGTACGTCGTCCAGATCAACCGAGTCTTTTCCCGTGGGCGATAAACTAATATGTACGAATAGTCTGAGAGGATAAAAATACTGGCTTGAAGATCGGGTAAACCCCCGAAAGCCATTAGGTGCACAGGCCAAATTACATCCAAATACGATTCTGAGTAGAAGTAGAATGCATGGCGCGTCCCAAAAGGGATTTATTTACTCCGGATAAACCATCATCGTATTCTTAAACCGCTGCCTTTTATTAGGCGCTATCCAACCCCCAAGAATCTCAACCATAATATTTTTTAATAATCCGTACGTGTTGCAAATTTATTGGGACCATGACGATGAAATTTCGAACGGAAATGAGCTTACCTGTATAACCCTCATATTGAGTCCGGTTTCTTGTGCCAATTGCTCACGAATATGTCGTGTCGGCTTCGGCGTGGACGCAAACGCATTCTTCAACGTCTCTAACTGAAAATGAAATGTTGTATAGTAACCGAGGACAGCAGAAAGCCTTTTCTTTATCCACGGAGGTAATTCATTTTCACCGCCCGGAAAAACCGTCCCAGCGCATAATCAATACTGCGCGGCGAGCATATGAGAAAATCGGTTTCACACAGGCGAAGTCGATTAGTCATCTTCGGAAAGGAATGTTGGATAGTTACCGTAACCATCGCGCTAAGTGTGATAATATGACAGAAGGCTGAGGAGGACTGTTACGCCTCTGGAAGCTACGACTCGGTTGAGCGGCGTTGACCGGCGGGCTGGAAGTTTGCGGTAAGTTATCCCTTCTTGGGTTTTACCTTTCTCTGGTTCATCCTAGGGTAGGATGACCCTCGGTTAGCGCAGTTCTGGGATTGGCGGAGCTTGGTTAAGATTTCAGAACACTCCGGCGATTCTTTCAGGCCCTTGAAAGTGATGAATTTGTCGAAGTGGTTCAGACTAAATAACTATTCCACCATAGAAAACTATTTGTCACAAAAGTTTTGGTTAGTGCAGCCTAAGCATCGCGATACATGCGCTTTTTTCACTTTTCATAATTTCATAAATAATACTACAAAATGTAGTCGAACAAGCTTTCTTCCTTGGCTCCAACGATTCCGCAGCTATCAATAATTTATGTGAATTATATAATAAACCTATAAATCTCAAGAAGACCGCTTGGTCGCAGAGATGCCCACCAACTAAACACTATTGGCTACCTGGCGTGCGTTTAAGGTGATGCATAAGGTTGCGGCCAGCCGCTAGGAGTAGACAGAAACGCCAAGAGTGCGGACTACACTCCACAAGTGACGCCAAAGTGAATCCGGCAAGTAGTGATTTATAGTGATAGCCAATAATTGATAAATTATAATCGTAATTGGAGGCAACAGAGATAATATAACTGCAACTGGCTAATCATTTCATTGGCAGAATATATTTACATTTTATTGATTCCGTCTTCATTTGTGGTGTGTGTTCTGTACTCGACGCGCTTCTGATTTCTGAAACAGAAGGCACCTATGCTTCGTAAAATTCTTCTACACGCAGCAGCTTTGGGATGGCTTCATTGATAAACGGCGGTTGCTTGGCTTTATTGACAGACTTTGATTCTTCAATTCCCAATTAGAGACTGTTGAAACTCTCCATTTAGATGTGCTATTTATTGTTATCTCGTTTCATTCCATTTTCTAACTCTCTTCATTCCTATTGTAACAAGATTTACTTTTTCAAAGATGAATAATGTTTATGAAGTATTTTTTCCAGAGTTAGAACTGACATTTGCGCTCATTAACTGATTATTATTATTATAATTATTATGATTATGATTATTATTATAATGAATTTTAATTATAATGAGACAGCAAACAAGAACAGTCATGGATAATACTGGTTTAGATTTGAGCAGAAAAACCTTCGAGATACTCGATTTGGACAACTTTCTGAAGACGTGCCATCCACAACAGCTTACATTTACTTGTTTGAGTCTTCACGCAGCCCGCGAAGCTATTGCTATCCCAGAGGTGGAAGATACAGTACCCATGGGAGGGTCCCACGGAAACTGCTTATCGTAACGTTGTATCCTATTCTGCCTATGCAGGCTCACCCAACGATCAAACTGTGCAGTATTTCTGCTCAATTATGAAAGTAAAGGTACGAAGCAGACCGCCTGTGACTAAAAAGAAAGACAAAGTCCTCGTGAACAGTTCTTTACCGGGGATCACGATTCAACGAGGCAGATAGACTCAAGGGCATTAAGAGATACTGTGCGCCGAGGAGAGAGAAATAGATAGGAACTGCGTCAGGAGGGAGGCGAAAGAAGATAGCAACTGGAAGCGGGTTTTGCGAGCTGGCTATTTTTTTGCAGACGAAAAGCTTCAAAGTTCCGTGCCGCACTTTCAAACCAAGAGCATAAGTGGTATGATAGAGCTATTCGCGAAAGAACACATCTGCGACTTCCACGGGAAGCTCTACCTTACACCCACTAAATCATCGTGAGGTGTGTCTTGAACACAGCCACACCGGTTGAATGGTAGCTCATTTGGACCGCCAGCTACATTTTTTAATGTCAAAATAATAAAGGTCTTATTCAGGGTCTTATACTAAAACTGCTTTTGCTTTTTCCTTTTTGTTCATTTATTAAATAGAATCCGCGGTGTGAGGTGAAGTCGAGGGCAAACGCACCCGTCCACCAAAGCCGAAAAGGGCGCACCCAAGACGCGAAAAAAGAACGCTGTCGTGAATGGTGCTAGAACTGCCATGTTCTACGAAAATTTTTTACGCTTTTCATGTGACATAAATTCTGATGAAATTCCCCGTTCAAATGAATAAAAAGTAAATAAACAACAAATAAACATAATATAAGCAAATAAGAAGTGAGCCTCTTTCACTTTCCAGTCTAGCCATCTTGAAAAACCTCAACCAACTGCTAAAGTTCTGGCAGCCATTTATATCTTTATCAGATCTCGAAGCTATTCAACGACGCGCCTCGAATACTTGCTCGCTGGCATTTCCGTCATCTTCAAGTATAGGTATGGGATTCACCTGAGACCTCACTCCCTGATGCCATGATCCGCCAGGAACGGTCTCTTTCCGACGCGGTGGTTCTAATCGCCTCTTGGACAAAATCCAAATTTAAGACCCCCCCCTTGACGCTTGGGAATTCCCTAGAGAGTAAAATGGTTCACCAGGAGAACCTGTTCAATTCGAAACGCATCGACAACTCCGCCTCCAACACTAGCAAAAGTTGGTCAGAGCTGAGGGGAATTCTTGCAATGTCGCAGAAAAACCTTCGAAATCTCGAAAATTCCCTTCATCTCTGCTTAAGAAAATACTGGCCCATATTTTCTCATAGATCGACCTTTCACGAATTACGGAACTACCTCTTCCTAGTTGGGCATTCCCCAACCAAAGTTTATCCTTTCCTTCACAATGACCCAAGTCTCGTCATTTCACCCCGCAAGACCTTCGTGGAGTTGCTGTGAAGAATGGAGGCTTTCTGAGACTCAACCGCAAATTTAAATAGGGACAGCATTGAAAAGCACCTGCTTGGCTTGATAGTCGTCCGGGATCCTCGTCGTTTTCGCAACCGCTGCATCGTCCTTCCTCAGCCTACACCGGCTTCGGTCTGCGGTCGATCAGCACCTGGCACGACAGAAAATCGATTCACACCACTCTATCAACAAACGATGGGGATGATTTTCTAGCAGAAGTCGTCACGAACACTGCACGGTCTTCTGACCCCGTCCACATTCTCTTCTTCGGCATCTGAATTGCATCAGAACTGGCGATACTGAACACGTCACAACTATTGATCGATATGAAACTAATGCGAGCAAGCATCAATCCTTTGCTATCGAGATTAGGGCAATTCCAGGGCCCGAGCCCAGAAGTGGGTACCGACGCTGAGAGAATGAGAATGGTCCACGCTGCTGGGGTCCGTCTCTCCGCGCCGCTAGAGCCTAGCTTCATTTTTCCGCGAAAAAAGATATTTTTTGTTGTTTTGGATGCAGCTGCCAGACTAAATCTGCCCCGCCGTTTCTTTCGATAGGGCCAACGTAAAATAACTCGTCTATTCTCGCCATTTTCCTGAAGAAATGAGGAAGCAAGAAACAACAAGAATCGAGCCCTTTTTTGTGAGTAACCTAAAAATATAAACCTTAGAATGAACTGAACGGTGAACTGCTTGTTTTAACTGAACTACCACCAGATTAGTCCCCGTCAAACCGCCGGACGGCTCCTTTCCTGCGCAGCTTCTATCCGCCGCTCATGGTGCCCTTCCTCTGTGACACAAACACCTCGGTGAAGTGACGCGTAATGCCCACACAAATGAGTGTTTCAAACAGTAGAGGGGCACACATCATGATATGCCGATAGATTTTCGCTTCCCTTCTCATCCTGCCTTCCTCTCTCCGCTGCCCTCCAGCTGCCCACTGCAGCACATGTGGAATGAACGGACCCGTGTGCTAAGGCGGTGTTTAATCTAGCTGGGTTATGCACAATCATGCTTGCTCACACACATCTTGATAGCTGCAAATTACCTGTTAAGCTACCCAATTTGTTAGGCGGTTGTTTTGTCCCCCATGAGCTTCCTTCCTCACTCACTTCATGCGGACCGGCACACACATACATACATCACATGTACAATCAACACATACAGTAGAGCACAACCGACACCCAAAGTTAGCGGCTTTTATAAAAATAGAAGGGATATGACCCGTGATCGCATCCTCTACAATCGCTTCCGCTTCTCTTTCAACCCGGAGTTTTCTTCGGAATAGAAATATTTCGATTAAAAAATTCCAGAGGGCGGAAACGCTCACTGGCCGAATATTTATAGATTTCAAGCTCTCCACGATCATGAATTCTGTGTATGGCTCGTAACTGTTTTGTGCTAATCCCTCTTTGGCTAAGAGGTATAGGGTGAACATTTATTTTGACCAACCTTCAAGGGAGGAATGTTGAGCGCTGAGCCATGTTTAGCTCTTTGAAACTGATGGAAAAGTCCAAAAACGCTGCTGAAATAAATGCAAGGCGACGCCTCCTGCTAAGAAGTATGAAGCCCACACCTTTCGGGGGTTCATTAATGAGTTGTATGTCTCCAGAACTTTCTTCCAATATGGATCAATGAGCAAATAGTTTTGAGGTGTGATGAGCAGTAAAGAATGAAGTAAAGATCCCCGACAAATCCCCGATATTGATGAAGGCGGCCCATGTCAACCCGCGTTTCCGTCCGCAGATGTGCAACACGCCCCGTGGATTACTTGTATCTCGAAGAGCTTAGCTTCTGAAATAGGATTAGCTCCATGGGGCTTCGTTCTTCCAACCGCCCGGTCAACCAGCTCGGCGATAGTGGGCTTCTGTCGGGTTAGCCGCCCAGAGGAGCAGTCGAACTTGCGCCTGAGGTAAGCTCAGAAGCGCTCAAAAATAAAATCCATACAAGTTTCTTCATCCAGTTAAAGGGCTTACTACCGGAACTTCTATCAAGAAATGAATGGGCCATAAATTTGTTTTTTGCCGAAGGTAGTGTAGTCGAGTAGCTCCAAGTTGCCCGGGAAGCGAGATATGCGAGTATGAGGCCCTGCCTGGGTGCCCATTCCTGCCCATAACTGAGGCATCTTTTGTGATGCGCAGGCGCGTTTTGATTTGGGAACCTCAGAAAGCGCCTTGAAGTTCATGCTCTAACCTTCACACTTACCGTGCCCATTGCCTTAATAGAGTAAGCGCGTCCCGTCTGCTCGTTGCCCGAAAAATTGTTCAGCAAATTCCTTTCAGACAGGTTCCAATGGATCTCGAGGGTTTCCTAGACTCATTTGGCCTTAATTATTCACGCTTAATCGACTCGTCCACCAACGGTGCTCACCAACCTATATAACCAAGGCAACAGCCGTCACCTCTACGGAAACCTTCCCACGCCTCCCTTGCCACCCACGGGCCCCCGCTTAGGGTACTCCGAAATACTAGACCTGTCGCTGGACTCGGCCCGACCAATCGCGGCAGCGGTGGTGTTGGGCCGGCTCCAGTGAAGAGGTGCTTCGACACAGTCTGAGTGCCCGAGGCCTTTTTGTGGACGATTCAGGCGAGGCGAGTGCCGCGGTGAACTTGTCTCGAAATTCAACCATATCCCCCCTTTCTAGAAAAACGCAGAGAAGAGCTCAAAAGCGAGTTCGACTTTGCAAGTACTAGCAACATCGATACCTGGTCGATTGCAATGGGATGACGCTAGGTGTGTCGACTTTTCGAAATAGGCATTTTTGAAAGTCCTGTTGGCACACTTCGATCCGATTTGCTTGCCAGGATGTACAGCTGAAAACCTCCGTGAGCTATAATCCGTTCATCAAATAATAAATTCCATACAATTACTCAGAAATAATTCGATATTTGCACCTTTTCGTCCATATTGAACCTTGCTCGATTCCCACCTTGTTGAGTAAGAAATTAGTATTAGTATATCGAGAGACACGATGCATAGAATCTTATCAATGCCATGTTTTTTTTTTGTTTTCTTTTCCTCAAGAGGGTTTCAGTGTTGCTCAAACAATTCTCAGAAAACAAAAATGCTTTATCAGTTTTATTATTCCTTATTATTACTTATTTCACAGAATGCTGGACTGTAAAACAAACTTCCGCCTCAGACGGGATTCGAACCCGCACACACCTGCGTTCTCCGGACAAGGCGCTACCAGTTCCTACCCGGTTGGTTACGGCAGTTAGCCGAACAAAACAAGTCAAAATTCATTTATTTATTCAATTTTTGTTGCTTACTTCAATTTGCCTAGAACTTGAATCAAATACATGAACACCGAAAGGTAGAAACAGCCCAGACAGCATGTGAATAAAGAGGTGTAGAATGTGAAATGCGGAACAAAATAATAAGAATAGGAAATCCGCGTATGCCCAATAATAACGATAGGAATTCCGCTGTACGCTTTAATTCAAAAACACCTCGAAACGTAGCGTCGATTGCCAGACTCCACACCACAGCTGACGTCGGCGACGAGAAAAAAAATGTTTTTTTTCTTCCTTTTCAAGGCCCGACGCCACATGCGATGTGTGATCTGCAATCGCGCTCTCTGGAATTTCTGAAATAGAGGGTGCTTACTTAAGCCAGGACATTCACCCAGACATCCAAGTGCCACCAGGGTCTTTTGATGGGTGACTCAAACAGACGTGTTCAGACCCAACACCCTCGAAATCGAAAAAGTCTGGATATTTCAGTAAAATCGCGTTTTTTTGCCTTCAATTGACGAGTATACCTCTCCAGAAATCGAGAATCCCACTCGTGGCCGTCATTGGAACTCGAGCAGTTTCAGCATTCCAGAATTGGATTCACCAACGCCGGCATGAATTCATCAGAAGTTAGCAGAAAAAGTCAAATTATTAATTGCATAAACTACTGCAGCCAGATGATAAGCGAAAGAGTGACGTTTAACCAGTGGAGCGAAAAAAATGATGTTTTTACGATTGGATTATGGTGATTTTAATATTACAACCCGAACGACCTGAGTGCTTTAAATTACTACCCCAACTATTGAAAACCTGCTTTTTTTTTTCTTTGGAATCTGATCAGGAAAGTCCCTTAGGACCCATTCCAAAAAAACCTGCCTTTTTTTCTTTGGGATCGGACAGGAAAGTCCCTTAGGGACCGACTTCAAATATTGCATAGAAAAAACCTATTTATGACAAAAAATGGATAGTCGATAGAAAAGAGCTAGAGCGAAGAAAGGACTTAGCGATCACATGAGAGGTCTGCTACGGAAACGTAAACTCAAAGCAGCACCAAAATGCGAAAAAGCTCTTCGAATCCTTATCTGAAAGTTGTCAATCACTGGAGGCGAGGTCAGAAAGAAAATCAAGAGATGAGAGCGAAAATCCTCAGAGGATCTGCCTGGTTGCAACCTAGCCCTCCAATTCTCTGGACCCTCTGGATTCAACGATTTCTTTGCGCCAGCTCACGCGATGTTATCACCAACCTCTGACAGCTACCGCCTTCGTCAAGTTCTGACCTTGTCTTATTTCGAACCAAACTGGACTTCAACGACCGACCAGCCATCTCCGTGGCGCCTGCGGCCATGTGTGTCTGTTCAACTGACCCAAGGGAATTCATCTCGAAAAGACGGGTGCGTTTCTTGAGGCTTCACGGATCCATTCGCAAGAACAATGTTTATGATAGGGTTCAATAGTGGAGAAAAAAATGCGATTGTGAATTGATGCATCCGCAAAAAAGCCCAGCTCAGTTTTTAATTAAAAGAAATAGCGCTGTTCTCAAACTTCTCTATCCGCTTCTGAATGAAAGTCTGCAAAACTACTCGTGGAAAAGGAATGTGCTTCGATTCTTGGATACGGTAGGCGCGCAATGTACGCACTGACATCACGAGGTGCTATGTGGAATCGATAGGACGAAACCGTAGGGGTGAAGAGGCTCGAGGACGCGTAAGCAATTTTCATTTCCCTGGAGTTCCTCCCCTTCGAAGGGTAATTCTAAGAGTGAAAGGGGCCTCATCCGGTAAGAGGGGGCATTGCGAGGTACGGTCTGCTCCAATGCCAGTTTGGCTCAAGGAGGCCTTCAAAGTTACAAGCTGCTATCAACTTTATTCCAAGGGGTTTTTCAGGGTAAGGGTTTTCGTAAGGTATTTGTATAATTATGTATCCTTGTTCTGGATGACATAAACCTCTATGGAAAGTAATATTCACCTAGTGAGCTGCTAGGACTAAGCCCACCAAGGGGAGGAAGCTTCCCACGGAAAACGAAATCGCTCTCGCGGTCTGCTTCTGCTCCGTCCTGGACGTTTACTATAAATGGTCATAAATGCGTTGAATGTTACCGCAATAACCTCCTCCCA